CCTGCATGGCCCACAAAAGGGTGAGTGAACTTGGCATAGCCACTTCCTTCTCGAAATTTCACCCTGCCCACAAAAGGACAAAAGGGTGAGTGAGTGAGTGAGAGTGAGTGAAAGTGAGTGAGAGTGAGTGAGAGTGAGTGAGTGAGAGTGAGTGAGTGAGAGTGAGTGAGTGAGAGTGAGAGTGAGAGTGAGTGAGAGTGAGTGAGTGAGTGAGAGTGAGAGCGAGAGTGAGTTTGAAGCAGCGCATCCCCGTGTACAGACGAGGTATATCATTCGCGTGTACAGATGAGTCACTTTTCGCGTGTACAGACGAGGCGCCGGCCTCCTACCTGGATCCCTTCTTTTCTTCCTTCCCTTCCCTTCCCTTCGACGAGGTGACCAGGGACCAAGGGGACCAGGGGACCAAGGGGACCAGAGGACCAAGGGGACCAGGGGACCAAGGGGACCAGGGGACCAAGGGGACCAGGACGACCATGTGGACCAGGAGCAAGCATACAAGAGACGGGAAAGGAAAATAATTATTTTTTGATTAGTTAATTAATTTGTTGTTGATTACGTAAATAACTTTTTTTTGATTCAGTAATTAATTTCTTTTTGATACACATGCCTCAACTGAGGCCCCCAGTTTTGACCCACAGACACACGTGGGTACTTTGAAAGATCTGATCAACTGCCCTGTTCATGACTTCAAAAGGCCTCCCTTCCACTCATCTGCCAGTTGAGCTTACCCCCACCAAGAAAAGCAACTCAATGGTTTGGAAAAATAGAGCTCTCTTGGCTGATTCAACAGCAAACTTCCACAATCATGGAAAGATCACTGGCCCTCTTCCAGGAAAAGAGAAAGAATCAACAAACAGAACGAGAACAGAATCAACCCCCTGATAACTTTCGCCAACACAACAAACAACCCGCACACCATGCCACACACCCGAGCTTTCCAAGCTGCCACGCTGGGGCGGCCCAAGGTGAGAGTCCCCGTCTTGTCCAAGACCACCGCCTTGACTTTGGACCCCAGCTCCAAGGGCTCAGCGCCACTGCGGACCTGGGGCTTCATAGCGAAGAATCGAAGAAAAAAGGAATACTGAATACTAACTCGCCAAGTCATGAATATGAAAGTGGATGAACAGGGCCAACAGTTCGGAGGACCATGAGTTTTCCAAAGACCCAAAATGACCCAAACAAACGGTTTTCATTCCACTTCCATGACAAATGGTTTCAGGGAGCGCCATTCTTTACAAGAGCTCCAGTGGGCAGAGCTTGGCACGAAGACAGTCGAGATATATTCGAGATAGCCGAGGAGAGATATCATCGGTGGGAAGACCACCAACAGCATGTGCCCGAAGTCTGGAATTTGATGGCATTGGAAGTGATCCGATCCCGCGTTACACTCCTCACACTCAGATTGTGGAATAGCAAGGCAGTCTGGACACCATGGCCACCTCATCACAGTTCACTCCCCCAGCGTCGCCCCTCTCGGGCTCCCTGGCCAAAATGCCGCAGCGCGCCGCCACCCCGGTGGCGGCCATGACGGCGGTGGGCGTCGCCAGGCCGAGGGCGCAGGGACACGCGATGAGGAGCACGTTGAGGCCGTGCTCCAGGACGAAGAAGGCCTACCAAACAACGCAGGAAAGGGGCGCAATGGAAACCTGGGTCTTGGGATCCCATGGTGGGAGTCAAGGCCAAAATCCAAAGGTCAGGAGTCCTCCGCAATTTCGGAGGGAAACAGATCTCTGCGACCAGAATCCAAGACTTCACAGAGCCAAGCTCCTTCTTCTCACTGACATCGCCACAACCAGACGCACCAACACCTTGTGCCATGCGCCAGCCGCATTGGCGCCATTACATGCGCATCACGCGCGCAGGGGAGGGCGCGTTTCAAACGCGGGTGCCTTGTCGAGCTGCGGCCAGGAGCTCGTACGCCCCTGCAGGATGGCGGTCAAGGGGATCACCTCAGTCGACACCGGAGATCCGTCGGACTGCCTTCCTCGCAGGGGGACTGCAGTCCCGCCGCCGGTCTGCGCGCCTCTCGAAACAGCAGGGATCTCAAGATACGCCCTCCGGTGGTCCGGTAAATCATTTCTACCAGTGGATCATCCTGTCGGTGTGGGCGACCCACTCGTGCACGAGCGCACGATCCAGGTCGGAAAGGTTCCGGAACTGGGGTCGAAGCCTTCTTTCAAAATGCTCGATCTGGAGTCGATTCTGAAAGCCGACTCGCATCCATGCACGGGAAGAAGGGGGGGCGGTAGACCACTTAGATGACCCCCCTAGACTAGAGATCGTCGTGAGTCAGGTGTCCTTAGTTAAGCCTTGCAGTGGGCCTTCTTTCCGGACAGTTGCGACCTGTCCAATTCTGCAAGACATGACTTCTTCCACGTGATTTCCAATCAATCTGAGGCACATTAAAGGTATAGACCAGCAGGAACCAGGCCATCCAGGTCATTAGGCTCAAGGCCACGATGGTGGGCACGAAGCATTGGGCGACGGCATCCGCGACCCGTTGCACGGGCGCACGGGTGAGCTGTGCGGTCTCCACCAGCGTCATGATTTGGCTCAGCATCGTCCCACTGCCCAGCTTCTCCTGGAAGGCGACATGCGAAGGCGGTGCTGATGCTGCTGATGGTGCTGTCTTGGAGGTGAAGCTGATGGGTGGTTCACATGTGACACTGGAAGTTGGGGATGCTTTCGTCAACATTACAAAATGTTACACCGGTTGCACATGTTCTTCCAGAGTCAGTTGTGGGAATGCTCGATTGCGGCTCCTGCTTGTACATAGTGATTTTCCGGCTTCGCCAACAATTGTCTGTTGCATTTGAGCTAGGAATTCTGGGAAGGCTGTGCGTATGTACCCTTGTGCACACCCTCTCCACAGCCGAGGCACCACCTGCATCTCTGCTCGCCCGGTCAAACCTTGCCATCAAAACATGTAAAAACAGTAACTTCAGAACCCGAAGTTCAAGTCAGAACTCTGACGTAAGTGAAACAGTCAACAGTCACCCCTTCAATCTATAGCCACCATGAGACCTTCAAACCCAGCTGAGGAGCATTTGGAGCCTCCAATGATGGCATCACCCTTCTTCTTCCGAACCGGCCGAGACTCGCCAGTCAGGAGGGACCTCAGATTGCAGCTGCGTGCACGGCAAGGGCTCACTTGCCGGGGATGCTTCCCAGCGCAAAGGAAGGCCGTTCGAAGAGCATATGGCAGTCACACGATACACACACCTTGAAGGGTCAAGGTAAAAAAAGGCACGATGTCATTTCGATGGTCAGCTTGAGAATGGAAAATGTGTTTTTCTCTTGAAAAACCCCAGCCTTCCTCATGACTTGCTTGGTCCAAGGAGCTCGTCGAACTCGGCATAGCCACAGTCCGATGTCATGATCCCATCAGTTGGAGCCTTCGAAGCGGCGCGGCAAATGCGCAAATGCTGTGCTGCGCCGAAAGCTCTACGGATTCCTGTGCGAAGCTGGCCCAAGAACATGTGATGATCGATCTGACTTTAACACATGGGATCTGGAGACACCACATGACAGCAAACTCATGTTTCCTGGATCCTTTTGGCTCCTGCAGCCAGTTCAGTCAACAGCCCACCTGGTCAGTTCCTCGCCAATTTCACTTAGCCCGGCACGGTTTCGCCCGGAAAGATCTGGAGGTGGTCGCCGATTTCCAACAGCTGTGCTGGCATGTCTTCCACCTCAACGTGAGTCGCATCAGACTGGTTTAGTGGTACGCGCAGCGGCGTAGCATCGATCTCGCTGATCGACTGTAATCCCCATCACCTGGTACCCGCGCTGAAGTGAAAGACTGAGTTTGGTCGGCTTTCCAGTGTTTCCTAATGGCTTCCTGACTTCCTATTGACATTCTATGGCTACTATGGCACCGCCTTTACCAGCTCGCTCTTCACCCTTCGGACCGTCCACCACCAAGCACGGCTCGGTTTCCAACATCGTCTTCTTGAGAACCATCTCCCGAACCCCGCCGGCCGCGGCCCAATGCGCCGTACCTTCCCGGTCCACTCGAACCAACCCGGTTGGGCCACCGTGCCCACCGTGACCCGCTGCGTGCTCCTCCCTGCTCCCAGCCCGCCTCCGTCCCGTTGGGTGCGGACAGGACGTGCGCGCAGCGCGGCCGCAGCGCCAGGAGCTGCTGCAGCGACTCCGACGCGCCGCTGCGCGCCCAGGCCTCGCCCGGGGTGAACTGACGAGTTCGGCACGACGGGGGCGAACACGTAACGAAGGTGTTGGGGAGGTTGGGGAGGTTGGGAGTCCATCTTGCCGGTTTCCTGGTGGAACAGTGGCCAAGCAATGCGCTTGGGGAGGACGAAAAAGTGTTGGTTCTGCTTGGTTCGAGTCCAGCGTGCTAAACAAATCAGTGATTTGTGAGCCCTCCTGTGAAAAACAATCGATGCACTTCTCCAAGAGGAAAGCAGAGAATAGGCTACATGTGGCTCTCTTCAACGCACCTACTCTGTCAGCATGGTCAACTCAATCTATTCTGTAAACAATGGAGGCAATTGCACAGTCCAAGCGAATCCAAGTGCGAGGAGATGGCTGGCCCGGTGGTTGCCCCCTTCGCTGAGACAAAAATCCTTTGCCTCCAGGTGCTTGCCCACGAGGATGGTGGTGATCCTTGGACCGCGTCCAACATCCCAGCGGCGCCCGAAATTTAGGCACCAGCCGGACCCAACGATGGAGGTGCAAAATCCTTCGTAAAACATGGTAAACCATGGCTGTTCGGTAAATAGTAAAGACAATTAAATCAATGGTGGTTGGAAGCCTAGGGCCATGGCACTACCATTGGTATTGCCATGGCACACCCCTACAACCACAAAAACCTGCTATCAATGCCATCAGTTGGACGGTTGGCCAAAAGGGAAGCTCAACCCCCCCGCTTAGCGATACCGCTCAGTCCGAGCCGCACGAAGCAAGGCGTCTCGAAGTAGGATGGGGGCGGCGCCTTGCATTCGATGCCGGCCACGTGGGAGGCAATGATCATACAGAAGGTGACCTTGGCCGCCAGAAATCCACTTCTGCAAACAGGAGTGGTACGTAGAAACTTTCGCGCTTGGGGGGAAATGCTGCAGATTCAATCTTGGACACTCAAAATCTAGCGAGCTGTTCCATCATGTTCCCCTATCTATCTAATCTCTGACTCGGCTGAGCCGTTGGGTCGAAGCCATCCAGCTCTGCCAGGAGGCCATGAAGGAATAGGCGAAGCACAAGGCAGTTCCCAAGGAGATGAGGACGTTCATGTCCCAAACTCCAGTCCTCAGCACCCGAGACGAACGTGACGGAGGGAAGGACCGAGACGGGTCCTCCTTGTTCTTCCGTCCGCACGCGGCGGGGCGCACACACGACGTGGAAAGCACAACGCTTCATGTGGGTGGTTGACTAAGAATTGGTACATGCAATACAGCCCCCCTAAGCAGTACGGGCTCGATTGCAATCTGCTGTTCAACCTCACGCAAGCTCTGGCCCTAGTGGCCTGCCCATTTTCAGGACAGGAACCACACACAGGCGGCTCCACGAAAAAAAAAAAGATTGTGCCAGGCTTCGAGATGGCATGGTAGGCACCCAAGTGGAAGCGGCAACCGCAGTAGAGTTGCACAGGGGTGGCTAGCACCTGAAACCGACACTCGACCGCTCGAGGGCAAGATCGTGCGCCCAGCCGCGTCGCGGTGCATGAGGAGCTTGCAGGAGTGAATGTATCACCAGAGTGGGGTCTTGGGAAGGGTGGACCCACGGAAAAGCAGCCCTCAAGGTGCTTCACCTCCGCATGCGGCATTCGACAGATCCATCAACTCCATGACTCGAAGGGAGTTCATCCGACATGACTGGTGCCATGGACCGTTCTTCGGCGGACCGTTGGCTTGATCGTTCCTCAGGGGCTGTTGAGCTGTTTAGCTCGACCGAGGTCGTCCAGGTCGACTCAGAACTTGGCGCCACCAAAGTCAAGGACACTCCGAAGCTTCGGCTCACCTACTGTAGTCATTGATACTAAATGATGGGTTAGGGATGGTTAGGGTTAGATCAGTAGGGGTTAGATCTTTACAGTAAAGACCTTTGTGGAAAAGTAGTCTGGAACTTCCAGGGCTGCTCAGCAGGCTGGTGCCTTGTTCTGAAGCAGCCTCAAGAACCCAACCGGACAAACAAACATAACATAATATGACAAAACTGGCTGCCCTGTGTTGCTGCATCAATGATGAAGCATCATGAGAAAGGTGGGGCGGTAGACTCGGTAGACTATTGGATGGATAAATCTCAGATGATAGAATCTATACTAGGCTCATCTTCACACGCGAAGTTTAATTACATGGATCCAGATGCAATTCCTGGGCAACTTGAACAACACCTCAACGACCCCACGGAGTGCAACGACGGCCCAGAACACCTCTGGCGTTTCCTCCTTTTTCGATCCAACGAGGCACGCTCAAGATGACGGTAATGCAAGGTAGTCCGGGCACGATATGAGTGTGCAACATTTTGTCCTCAGGCCACGTCTGTCGCCCCCAACCCCGTCTGTCGTCACGGCTTTTTTGGAGGGAGGAACGGGTCCGAAATCCTCCGTGGGCCCATCGAAATCTATCAGAAATGTCTGGCCTTCAACCCCTCTGCCCGGCATCCACGTTCAGTCTTGTAATCTATCAAACTCTATCACTTCCTCTAAGGTTGGGCTTGGTCTAGAAGATGATTCGAGCATTCTAAGGGTCACCAGAAAACCCTGCAAGCTTTGGGCTTTGAGCTGGATTGCGGCGAGCTGCAAGCGCAAAGAACTTGAAACAACTAACATCCAACCATCTCCTCGTGCTTTATGCACCAACGCCGCTCGCGACTCTTCCCATACATCCTGATTCCCCCTTCCGAACCGCCCAGCGCCCCGGGGCGCAGAAGTTCCGCCGTCTCCTCTCTCCGGCCGCGTCCGCCTCCCCGCCGATAGCCGCGCCCCCCCGACGTCGTCCGAGGAGCGAAGCGCGTGAAGCAGGGCAGGACGTCGCTGAAGAGCAGCACCGCCAGGGTGAGGACCACGGCCGTGGGGAGTCCTTCGGCCATTGTGGCGGCGAGGGAGTGGAAGGCATAGGCGTACTAGGTGGGGATGACGATGAAGCGCCATTGGCATAAGGGTTTTACAAAAACCAGGTGAAAGAGCAGGTCATGAATGTTCAAATGTCCACATGACACACGACGCAAAGTACCATGGAATGGAATGGAAATAACTTTTTGGAGGCATGTACTTAACTGAGAAACCAAAAAGGAATGGAATGGGGACGGCAGAAGCTGGTCAGCTGGTCTTCTCCAGGGCGTTTGCCCAATGTTCATCCTGAGTGGGCTCCAAAACTCGGCCAAGCCCAACGTTGTTGCGACGTGCCGTGGAAACCATGCCGCACTGGTCCTAGCGGCATCCCCTCACCCTTCACAGGTGAAGCGTGGCTGGTGTCCACCTCAAAGCCCTGCGATCGCCTCGGCGATGGGCGATGCTAGGGTGGGGTCAGCTGCCCTCAAGGTCGGTGGCTTCACCCTACACCCGACAAGAGCACACATAGATAGAACCTGAAAAACCACTGGGTTGTAGAGGAAAGTTGTCTTCCTTGCAGGTCCATTGCCGTTCACTAGAATCGTGACTCGTGTTCCCATCTCTCTCTTCCTCTCTCCCCCTTCTCCTACCTCCTCCCTCCCTCGCACGCCAGGCCCGTGGAACCGTGACCGTGGAGTTTCAGCCTTTCCGGGCCCCGCAACCCAGGTCTCCTATGCACAGAAAGGTCTCCTTGCGCTTGTTTGGCCTGGTTTTTTGCCGAATCCAAAGCTTCTGGAACATCCCATCTGTACAATGGACGTGGACCCGTCTCTTCGAACTGCACTGGTCTCACTTGCTGCACGAAGTGTGTTCAACGCCTTCGCCCGCCATTCAACGCCGGCCCCTCGGCGGTCTCGCATGCTTCTTCGCACCCCATTCCGCCACACAGGCCGAGGCGGTCGCGCAAGGACCCCGGTCGCGATCCCTTCGTCGGTACATCTCTCCACAATCGTCCGGGATCGTTCGGATCCGGCCATCGGACGAGAGGAGGAGGGCCCTGGGCCCTGGGCTCCACTATGCTCCACTGATCGTTCGAAAAGGCTGCAAATCACTCCCCTGCTGCGAATTCACATTGCAGTGGTAGATCCTCGGCATATCAAATTCCCGCTGTACTCAGCAAAAATCTAAAGTCAGTTTGCAAAGGCGAGCCCACTCATTTGGCTCGGGAAGGAGGTTGCTAACAGCATTTGTGCGAGAGGTTTTCTTGTCCCCACCCGTACGATTCAAGGTCGGAAGGCCTACACCTACACCTTCATTAGCAACTCCCCAGGCTCTACCATAGCAACTACGACGGTTGAAGGCCTATTGATATATCATATATTGTATGACCGTGAGAGCCGCCCCAATCTCCCAAAACCTCCACACTTCTTCCCAAAAAAGTAAAAACGAGGATCTTCGTCGTAAAGCGCACTTTGGGAGGCTTGAAGGGGTACTCGATGGGAAAGGAAACGCTCAAGAAGAAGAGTCCACCCGCATAGGCAGTTTCTGCGGGCCCTTGGATTACAGCCTCCCACTGGAAGAGGTCATCACCGACCTCACTGGCCAAAGAGAGACCGGAGAAAACATGGGCAAGCCACTCTTTTGCCCAAATCCAGTGGTTCAGGGTGCCGTCATAGCGTGCTTGTGGGTCTAAAAGCATCAATTCTCATTTACATCCCTCTAACTGTGCAAGAACGATGGTGTTGCCACTGCTGAAACAAGGTGAAACAAGGACTGCTGCGAAAACGGTTCACAGGACCTCCTGAGCAATTTTCAATGAGGCCCTTCTCAAGCTCTTCCAGTTCCTTCTTGATTCGCTTCAAAGCTGCCATGGCCTGGCACCCTGAACCTGCACTGCAATGATGTCTTGAGCCTTTGCGGCAGCAGCATCTATATAATAAAAACTCAGCGAAAACATGCCGGATTTTCCATGATTGACCATGCATGCAAGCGAGTCCGTAAATGTGCAGGCTCATCGACCGGATTGAGGGCAGCCGGTGTCTGTCAAAGTGCTCCTGATTGAGGGCAGCCAGTGCTAGCTGTTCTCTGCATCATGGGATTCGGGGGGTCTCTACTTATACAGTGGGCCATCAGAGTAGATGGCACTGGCACCCCAAGATGTGTTTTATATGGGGGTCCATCTAAACCACCAAACTTGGGGATTGCGCCATCTACTCTGAAACCACTGCAAATCCTTGGCCAGCTTCACAAGCAACTGGACGGGCAGCACTTGATGCTTTTCCATCCTCGAGAATCCCTCCTGGTGAGATGGTCGGGCGGTATAGCCCCAGATATAGACCCCATGTCTTCAAGAAGACTCCTCTTAGTTATCTGCAGCAGCAAAGCCCACCTGGTAGGGATTGGTCGAACACTGCACCCACGTACCGAAACCCGATTTCGGCGCTCCGCACACCATGCAGCAGCTCGGCCAGGCCGGTGCGTCGGCTCGTTGCAGCCACGGTGCAGGCTGCACACGATCTTCCTCGCGCCCGAGCGGAGAGGATCGTAGAAGATGGTGAGCTCGCCCGGTCCATCTGGCGACGTGGGTTGCTCGAGTCCACTCGGGTGGGGCGGAGCGACCTGAGACCTGCCTGCTATGGCATGAGAATGGTGGGGTTGTCTTGGTCTTCAGCCTCACACAACTCCAAAGCGTCCCTGTTTTCACCTATCCCCAAGTACTTAAGTACTTACAGCCACTGACAGCAGTAGAACTCAGTTGAGGTACCTGACATAGATCACCGGCACATGATGACATGCATCACAAGAGCAAATCCCTGGACCGATAGTTAGCGATAGTTTGCGGCACGAAGCTGCCAGAGGACCTTGGTTTTTCGTGGTTTTTCTGCCTTCGCGGCTCACAACTTTGGCTGCACATTGGAGTTGACGTTGCTGACGTACAACCAAACTGGTCTGTGCCTAAACCCAATTCTGCCACACAGGCAGTCCATCTGTCACAGCAGTCGACAAACGAGCCCACTTCAGAACATGAGATAGCTGCTCAGTTTGTTGCAAAGAATCAGCTTGTTTCCAGGCAGTCAAAAGCCCAACCCTCCTGTCAAGAATCAGAGATCGAAGTCTCTGGTTGAAAGCATCCTTGTTTGGGATCTTCGCTAGAATGGTATCGACATCTTCTGGGCGGCTTGCTTTCATATCTTGCACTCTGAGGCCTTCGAGCGTGTGCTGTCTGCTGAGCAGTGTGGCTTTATTCCGGACCAATAAGCTCTGAGCCATGCCCATTCGCTGAGCTTCGGCCAGCTCAGCCATACACCAGGCGCGGCTGAAGAGCTCCAATGATGCATCTACAGCAACCAGCTCTGCGAAAGACGGATCCTTGCAGGCTAGAAAGGACATCATGTCGTCAAACTTGTTCATTTCACAAGGAATGCTCTCCCCGTACGGGTTCAAAGGTGGCGTGGTGTTGAAGAACTTGGGAGTCCTGCATGAACAGACTGGATGCAGTAGCATTGTGACAGGATCAACATCTGCACGTGGGTTTGCTCCACATATCCCTGAGTGTTGGTTCACTGCAAAGGCACAAATCCAATAGATGTCCCCTAAAGTTCCTTGCAGCCGGATCATTTGTTCCAAGGCATTGATGCCCACCTCATCGGACAGCAAAGCAGAAACCAGCTCGAAGGTGTGCTCTTCAAGGGCATCAGCAACGACACTTGCCAGCAAGTCCCGGAACAGGTTGGACCAGTTGTGGGTCACCATCTTTCGGGGCATCGCAGGTTCACCTCTATTGACGAGCTGCGCATAGGAGGTACCATGTCTTGCAGTTATTGGGATAATCGCCAGTCGCACAACATCATTGGTGGTGTGCACATCCGGCCTGTAAGACAACATGATTTCATTCCCCAAGCTGCGATAAAAAGAGAGAAGGTGTTGCAAAGATAGACCGCGACCAGCCAGTTCCTGAGTCTTTGCTTCCCATTCTGTTCCCACGACCTCCCTCTTGGGCCTGACTGGCCTGGATTTGAAGCGGAAGCGACCAAAACCAGTAGGCCCGCTGTCTTTGGGCAGGTCGGACGGAAGCGAAGAAACTCCCCAAAAGCGGTAGGCTCCCGACAGGAGAATCACACCAATCGTGTTGGTCACCAAGTTCACACACTGCACATATTGAACACCCTGGAGTTCAAATCCTTCGACCTGTCCAACCTCATACCCCACCACAGTGGACACCGCAACGCCTGTGAAAATGGAGGTGGTGGCTAAGCTAATCACCAAGCCAAGACCTTGCAGCAATGCCGCTCGCCGGCTGCGCCGCAGAGCCTTGCCAGACTCCAAGGAACCCTCCTGGGCCATCTGCTGCGCTGCATTGAAAATGTACAAAACACGGCAGAGAGTTGCAAAAACTAGAATCATCCAAATGACAAAGCAACATGGTATCAAAAGAACCAGCGCCGCAATAGCAATGTACACAAGAATTAACCCCAATTCGGATCGACGATGCGTTGCACCAATAATCAAGGTGAGAGGGCCCAGTGTGAGCAAAGCAAGTTCTGCCCAAAGAAACCTGTTCAGCCACACTCCAAACCGTGGTTGGTTGAGTGCTGGCCAAATGCTTTGGAGACGGTTCTGGATCAACACCTGCAGAATTACAATTTCACAGACCAGCAAAAAGACCCTGAGACTGCCGAGGACGCTGACGGTCAGGGCGTCACCGCCATCTCCGTAATAATAGGTTAGTTCATCATCATAGTACTCCCTTGCCGCAATGATCAGGCTGGTGGAGGCTAAACCCTCAATCCAGTTGAGAACCAGAAAGCGTGATGCCTGAAGGAGGTGTGGTGTTGAGGCATGGCACCATACCCAAATAGCTCCACAAGCTGCTACGGCGGTACAAGCCATCAGGATGCATAGGTTCATGTCTGCATATTGTGGTGTCGCATCAATTTCACACGCGAAACTAGCGCCGGCTTTGCACGTGCCAAGGAGGAGGGCTCCCAGACTACTGAGGATGATGAGGAAAATCGCACCTAGAAATGTCAAGCATCTGTACAGTGACACTTGGTTGAGCTTAAATGTCCAAGCACTTCTGAGGTCAGTGGAGGAGCTTGATGTCAATGCACAGCTGCTCAACGTGTCCGAGCCACCATCGCTATCACCAGAAGAATCACTTGACATGGCCAATCATTTCAGCTTAATGTTCGAGCCTTGCCGAAAAAAGTGCCGCAACAAAAGCTCCACAGCAAGCTCCATTGAAAGCATATTCCCAGGGCCATGATGCAAAACACAAGCCATGACTACGCACCTCCCAAGCACTCCATTAACCCAGCCATTAACACGCCTCATCAACACATGCCATGAACACTCCTAAAAGGACAGCCTGCAAACACGTTTATATATGTGTATATATATATATATGTATTCCAGTTGTTCACTCCAAACACTTTGAGACACAAGCCCTAACAAGGGGCTTGGTCGAACGATTATATATATTATGTATATAAACAGAGACCGATCCAGGCTCTCCCGGACCTTCCACCACCTCCAAAATGCCATCCATGGACTTCAGGTCCGGCAAGGCACCTGCCAAGTCCGGACCCTTCAGAAGCAGGTGTCGCTTGGACCCTCAGATCTGTTCAGGGAGGCGGACCATCAAAAAAGCTCCCAAGAGATGTCATGGAAGAACCATGACTTGGACACTCACCCACAACAAACATCATCAAAAGTAGACCTTGACCCCCCCGAACTGACCAGTCGCTCTCGCTCTTCGGAACGCCGGGACCCATGATCTCGGTCGGTGGGTGCCGAGTCACGCGTGACGACCGGTCGTTTTCACGTGTAAAATGAATAAAAAATCAGAATCGATGAGCCACCGACCTCATTCCCATGTGGAAACACACAAAGACACCCCGACAGCAAGGAAGACTCGTCCGCGAAGTCCGCAATCCTTCGTGGAAGAAACACCATAGTATGCTGATATGTTTTAACTGTAAGGGCGCGGCAATGATGGTCGTGCCATGTCGTGCCTCCTGATGCTATGCACAATTTGGAGCCCGGTAGCTTCATGACGAACATACTACTCGTGTCTTTCTTAGATTCCTCTTTCGCGCAAAAGAAGGCCTGTGCCACCAGCCACCAACAAATGCAGTGAAGCTCGGGCACTGGATGCCTTCAGGTTTCAGCTCAGGAAAGGCGGGGCTCAGTGGCCGAGACATGTCAAACATGGGAGACCTACTTGCCCTGATTTCATCTGCTTGTTGTTCTACGGCATGATTTCAGCCATGCATGGTGTGCCCGAAGTACGGACGTAGTCCTGAGTCCTGCCCATTCCTGTCTGCCACCAGCTGCATCCCATGTCACGATCCACCACAGATCAGCCCAGAAATCACGTGTCGGAGTTGGTGGTTTGGCGGCCACGTAGTTGCAAGGAGATCCCTGCCTGCGAGTCCTCAAAGTCTTCCAACACGCTGGCATCAAATCCAATGGCTTCTACTTCTGCCTCGGCAACATCTGAGTGGGCACCCGCCATACCAAGCTATCTAAGACTATCCTTTTCCGCTAAGCTATGTCACTGAATGTCATTGAACGAATCCATCTTCTGGCGACGAAAATCCGTTTCCTAAATGTGTCACCACCATACCACCCAACGAAAAAGCTACCATCCACCACAGTGGACCCATTATATATGATCTTTTGTGTGATGTGGCAGCTTGGTGGCACAGCCGCATCTCCAAAACATTCAACTCTTGCCCGACCCCAAACGGCCGGCTTTCTCCGAAACCAACACGACGTGGTGGCACAGCCGCCATCCGTCGGCTAAGGAGTCCACTTCACATGGGATACTGCTGGGTTTATTGCAGCGGCATGGAAAACCCTGCCGTGCAATTAGGAAGACACGCTCCGATTGCCGGCATCAACACATTCCACCACGCTCCGGCACGTTTACCACCGACCCTCCCCCCACGCGGTCGATGGTGTGCGCTGTCCCAGCGGCGCAAAGCTCCGCAGCGGTGTGGACAGGACCTGCACCGCCCTCCACGCGGTAGAGAACTGAGGCCTTCCCGTTGATCAGGTCGACCTGCACGGAGAAGTCGTGCAGGTTCGTGCAGGTCAAACATGCTCCATCCCCACGTCCGTCCACCCCCCCCGTGGCGTCTGGCCTGGTCGGGCAACAGGACACCTCTGGCCTTCTACTTGGGGCAGAAGCACACAAGGCAGGCGCCATGCAGGTATCAAGTGGGAAACCACCTGCCCCTCCAACCAAGCGCGCGCGCGCGCGCCGCGTAAGTTACGTGCTGCGTCCTTCACCCTGCGGGTCCCCTCATCCCGACACCACGAACGAAGTGCATCCAATTGCGAGGCGGCTCGTTGCGGCTTTCCCACCTGGCACTGCTCCACGAAGTCCAGCTGCTTCATGGCCCTGGCGTGCGGGGTATCCGAACAGCTTCGAGGTGGTAACCGGTGAGGATGAGGAGACAGACAGTATCTTCTTCGTCTGCTCCTTCAGGCATGTTCATGCATGCTTAGCCCAATGATTTCGTGATCAGAGATGTAAGCCGTAGGATGCCTTCGGAAACCCCCACGTCGCTGGAGTGCTTTTGGACATTCACCCACCACATGTCCAGCAAGGCATTCACTCTCAGTGACTTGACTGCTTGAAATTCTTCCCAATTCTTCATCTTGACAGGTGTGACCTCAGGTCCGGCAATGGTCTCCAGAATCGGTCAAAAAAAACACGTGCCAAGAGCCTCTCAACGGCAAAGCTGCAGTTGGAGCAGGTCATCCCACTCACTTGCAGCATCGCATGGCGGGATGTGCCTTGTCCGGGCGTGGTGAACGCCGATGCTGGCTTCTTCAAAAAGGGGGGCCACATGAGGTGGATGCAACTACGCGAGGCTCATGGAACTACAAATTGCAGATTCAAAAAAAAAATATACATGACATACGGTATACGCACCGCTACAACAAAAAGCCGGATCCAGCTGCCATGAAACCTGAGGCGTTTGATATGCTCAGTGAGACTGGGGGGGATCTAAGGAGGGAAGGAAATGTGTGGTGTCGGCGTCAGCCAAAAATGCATGCCGCACAAGACCTGGCATTGTGATCTTCCAAGCCTTGAAGCCTCTGCTGGGTCTCTGTGCGCACCTTTGCGCTTCTGAAAAACCTGTTATTTCCAGGCTTGATGAACATTGATGAACATGCTTAACCATCTGTTACCACTTGACTAGTTGAGAGAGCCGACAGCCAAGCTCGTTCAGTCACCAGCTCCGACGTGCCAAGTGTCTCCAAAGCGTTGTTCAACAAAGGATGTGATCTGTGAGACGAGCGGATAGAGCGAATGCGTTTGTGCTTGGGGGCAGATGTAAGATTTGGACAGTTTTTGGTGCCAAACCCTTGGTCCCAATCTGGTTGTCGTCCATTCAGGTCAGGCAGATGGTATGTCACGCCCAGCCTTGTCTCATCGAGGTAAGGTATCCTGGGTGGTGACAGCGCTGAAAACAACAAGGGAACTGGACTGCCATCCAAACTGGTAGAAATACATGGTCGCGAAGAGTACCATTGCGACGAAGCTCGCTCCGGATGATCGGCTTCATCGCGTTTTCGAAGCAAGCAGGCACAGGTCGAACGGATCCCTTTGACTCAAACCTGAGCAGCCTTTGTTTTGTCGCACAAGATGCTCCCCCATCAAAACGACGCATGGACACAGCGATCGGTGGAGGGATCGGTGTCCATGGTCCTGCACCCATGTCCTGCCTCCTCGTTCCGTGGCATTTCACAGGCGAACTGGGGGGGCAAGGATCGGTCGGTGGCTGCCAAGCCCTGCCTAGTTGACCTGTGATGAGAAATGAACAACTTCGCTCCAACTGTCACATGAGGGAAAAGCACCTTCGCTAAGCACAGTGTTCCACCACATCTGAACGTATACAGACGGTTCATCAATAACACCAAGTTGGATTGGCTAAAAACAACCCCAAATCAGGGGGTGCAAGTCTGCATCTACAGTCTGCATCATACAATTTGAACCACACCATGTCCGTCATCGCAGCGTCCATCAGCATCCCAAGCACTGGCAGTGGCTTTCTTCCACCCTCCACACCTGGACCATAACCTGGACCCAGTACAAACACCACGTTAGAAAACGTCATGCAGCCGTGGCGCAGATAGTAGTTATGTAGTAGTGCATGATGGATCGCGAGGCAAGACTTTTGAGCCCAATGCGCGGCGAAATGGAGGGAAGCGGCAAGTGGTGAGAACCATGCCATACATCCACAATCGGGAGAGGACTGTCCAGTATATCTGTTTATATAATTACATGTGTGATTATATATGGCTTTTGTTTATTTTTCGCCATCCTCTCCTCTTCCCTGGCTTGAAAGACATTCCATGCCAGCACCCGCTGCGAAGGGTCAGACAGGAGCTGCATGTTCGCGCCCGAACATGACCCGCATTGGTTTGGTGTGCGTTCACATGCCGAGTCAGGTGGTTTCCCCGGTTCAGGATGCCAACACGGAGCCCTCACTCCCATTGACCCCGCTTAAAGGTCCAATTGGAGCTGTCATCATAGGATTTGCCCGCGGTCCATTCTCTCATGCGGATCCCCGAGAATCATATGAACTACCTCAAGATTGCCCCGGCCAGTGGATGGTGCCACGAACCCCTGAGGTCGCAGCACATGGCAACTTCTTCCCCTGATCCGGGCAATCACCCAGAGGGCGAAGGGAGAAGGTAATGGCCACATATGGCTCCACGACTTGCGACGCACTCGGCGGTACTGCAATGGTACTAAAACAACACTGCATTTGAACGAAGCAGAGCGACAAACTATTGCATTGTCAATGGGAACGCCTAGGCCACACACCTTGCTCTAAATGACATGGGCCAGTTCATTCAAACTTGAGTGGGTTGAGCTGTTGAGCTGGAGTTCTGAGGGTCACATATACCGGCATAGGTATTTATATATATATTATATATATATGCATATATGTAGCTCCATTATTGAGTGATTTATGTGTTATAGACGTCCAAGAGTTTTGGCACCTAGACGTCCCAAAAAAATGTCCTTTTCAGATCGTCTAAGACCATTTCAGATCATCGTCGCCTTACCCCACTGGCAAAAGGTGAAGTCGCCCGTCATGGGTCCAACGGTCCCATGCCCGCGCTTCCCCAAAGCCCAGAGCTTCCCCGAACACAGCTCCTCTCCACACACGCGCCCCGGAGCACCGCCCCGCGCTGCGCGACGCCGACCCTCGAGGCCTCCAACTCCAAGAGCTTTTGGATCGCGGCTCCGCCCAGCTGCACGGGGTACTCGGAGGCGGCGGCTTGGAGCGGCTCGCCGCTTCCCACGGTGGTCTGGCGCAATGATCATGGTGTGCGTTCTTTTTTTCTGCGATTTTCCGCGACTGCGGCGGGCATGTCCAATCACTGCACGCCGCACATCCATGCCAAGAAAAATTTTATTGACTATTGATACTACTCCCTTGATTGCTGCTTGCTAGGGGGAGGGGGGAGCGGTTATACTACTTATATAAGATCCAACATTAGTCCTCTTCCTGATGTTTTCACACTCCCACCCAGCTGGGTCAGTCCAGCCGCCCGCCCGCGCGTCGTGCGGGCCGCTCTTTTGGCGTCTGGTGCTCTGCCACGAGTTCCACCGAGCAAGCATCCTTTGAGTGGGCGAAGCTCCGTCTCGGGTGTGAAGTTGTGAAGCACTGGAGATGAAGCCTAAGCACCAAGACCTGAGGATCTCGGATGCGTTCGGTGCCCGATTTGGGTTCCCAAGAGAGGTTAAGTGACCTGAACTAGGACCTTACTGGGGTACCGAGCTGGGATAGTCTATAGGGTTCTTCAACCTCTGTTGCTCAAAACTGTAATAGTCTTTTACCCGATTTGTGCTGGTAGCCACCCCCTTTGAGGAGACCCACAACCACCAATAACGGCCACTGTCAACAAAGGGATGGGTGGAAGATTCCATCGAAAGTCCCCCCCCCTTCATGCTGTGGCAGTTGACTTGTGGCAGTTAGTTGGTGCCGCCCCCCCAAAAGCTTACGAAATTACCGACCATTTGCTGTTCAACTAGCTCAGCACCCGTTGGTCCGGAAAGCTCCACCGCAGCGGTGGGGGGTCTTGCCGGTGTCAGCCATCGGCGACCTGTTCGGCTCCACCCACGCTGCACCACCAAAGGACGCCCAACGCCGAAGCCTGCTGACACCCGCGTCGGCATCGGCGGACGCACCCGGTGACAGGGAACGGCTTGCGGCTTGAGCCTCCACAGATTCCAAGCGAGTGGAAGAAGTGGTTCAATTCAACTGGTGAATCAAGAGTCTACATGACATATCCACTTATGAGCATCAATGCTCTGAATGGAGGCTCCATTCACGGAATGCTGCGACAAAATCTTTGGGCTTCAAAGCCCAGGATATAGACTAGAGTCTAGAGTCTCTTCATCAGACCCTCAAAGATCCAAGTTTCCCGAACGAGAAGGAAAAAAAAAGAACCCCGCGATCTGATCTCTTGAAGAACTTGGGGAGCTCTTGTTTGTCAACAGAACACCGCTTATACAGACTTGGCAGCGAACTTGGAGGATGCATCCATATACATCCTGCAACCCAACCTTACTTGGCCTGTGCCTCGTCGGGAAACCCTCTGCTCTCCGTGGCAGCGCTGAAACTCAAACCTCGCAGAACATCTCTGCGAGGTGGAACTGCTCCCGATTCGGCGGATTTGCGCAGCTTCTGCGGCGGCCCGAATCGGCGGCGCTTTGGCCCATGCTCTTCGGCAGACAAAAGGCCGGGGCGCTTGGCCCAAGCTGCTTTGGAACGTAGCTCGGTGAGGGTTCGTGCCCTAAACGAAGGGAGGGCGTGGGAGGAAAGGCAGCGGGAGAATCAGTTAGTAGTTGGGAGTTCTGGATGCAACCAAAAGCACTTCTAGATGCAGTGCATCTTGGCCTTGGTGCAGAGCTCCAGCATCTCAATTCTCAAAGCAGTTCGGCTTGACTGGCAATTGAATTTCAGACGGCCCAGGCTGTGGAGACATGACATTCAGCTTGGTCTAAAGCATTCCGTCCTGGTTTGAGGTATGTGATGCAGCCAAGTGACTCGGAAACTATATTATACCGCTTGGATCGACCTTCCCTCTGTTGGCTCTTCCTTTTTCCTTCTCAACGCTCTGGATCCATACCTCACATTGCTGAAGACTATCCATCGTAGCCAGCCTGCCCTTCCAGATGCAGCGTGCAGGTGCAAAGCCTTGTGGTTTGCCCATCATCAGTCAACCTAATAAATATGTGGCTGAGTGTCACAACCCAAAGCCCCAAAACCCTGGTAGGTTGATCTCCTTTAGTAGTCTATTCTGGTAATTTTCCGTGGTCAACGACCAGTCACCCTTTTTTGACCCACAGCCAATACAAGGATGGGGACTACGGCAGGGCACCTGACAAGTGAAGAGCATTCTTCTTCAGCTCGTAACATCTTGCAGGTACATGGCCTCCCCCAACCAAACCGGCCACCTCATTGAGATGGGTTCCACCTCCCTGAAACAAACACACCAAGGGTTCCATCACCTGTCCTGGACAATAATCACCACTATGGAAGGAGAAAAGGACTTTTCTCTCTGAGTCTGTCTCGATGTCTTAATGCCGCTTGCATGCCAAAAGACTGACAGCTGCTGCTCTTCGGGAAAGGTCGAGGCTGGACACAGGCAAGACTCTACCAATTTGATAGGAAAAGTTGCATACCCACTGCGGACTTTGCAGCCCAGATTGCCTTTGAGCCCTTGTGCCAAGCTGAGCTTATACATCAAAAATGGCCCACCAGGCTGAGGCGCAGCTTAAGGTATGCATACCTCTTCCTCAAATGAAGGGATTGAAGAAAATCGAGGCCAAGAAACATGGTCGCTCAATCTTCGAAGAAGTCGACCAACCTCGTGGAGCCATCCGAGGTCACCTGCCGACGAGGTCACCTACTGCCCCCCCCCCCCTCAAGACTTTCCCCAGTCGACCCACCAACCGAGCCAGGTTCAAGATACATTCGATATCATTCGATACAGGTGCACTTTTGAGACGCATTCACCATCTTCCCTCGGATCTCTTCCACCCGCTCAACTGATCCTTCAACCCGGCCGAAACGGCCCAGAAGCGCCGAAGCGCCGCGAGCGTCCGGCGCCTGAAATCGGACCTTGCTGGCCGTGCCCATGAAGTCCCCGCTGTGGTGCAGCGGGGTTGGCTGATCCACCTGAGGTCCCGGCAGGTCAGGGTTAGCAGGTCCCCCACCGATCGAGATAGCCAAATCTCCCCGATCTGAGGTGAGATAGGAGAATCCCCCACCAAGAACGTTCGTTCTGGCCAGCTCCCTCTCTCGCCCCGTTCGAGCCGCTGCTTCTGTTGAATCCATGGTTCGAATTTCGGTTTGTCTCAAAGGTGAAGACATCTCAATGAATCCGCTGCTGTCTCCAGAAACCAACAGAATGTATTAGTATGTATTAGTACAGCAACAGAATCAGAGAGATTAGAGTAGCACACGGGTCATGTCATTGGTCATTGGCTTGCCAGATCTTTCATATTTTTCTGAGCGCCTTACCAAGGTCAACAAAGCTCAGCCCGCCTCAACCATGACATCTTTCACCAAGAAGTCATGGACATGCTTGTAGTCTCCTTGGCCCACAGCAGAGTCTGAGAGTGAGACCTACGTCATCAGCACATACATCATCAACGATTTCAACTCTTCGACGACTTCTCGGTAGCAAGAGAGAAGCGGACGAATCCGAAACCTGCTCACGATCCAAAGCGACCTCACGCTAAGGCTGTGTCTGTAGGTTCCTTGCCATAGAGGCCGAATGTTGAAGGTCGCCGCGGCCGGGTGAATGTGAGACAAGCGCAGATGTGCATAGCCAGGACCTGAATTTGCCCTGTCTCTGCATTCGCGCTGGTCTGTGTATGCTCTTAATATCAGTCCAGACTTGCGTTTGCCTGGATGGCGTATTTTTGAAACGCGCACCACCAGGCTTCAAAGGTGTTGCCAAAATGCTTTGGTACAGGTGCGGCCAAGCTACGCACTCCAGCAAAGGGGAAGAGCCGGAAGCCACCGCCATAATAGGGCACGGTCCCTGAGTCATCAGAGCTGTTCATATGGACACGGTCCAGGGGTGATCCCTGAGTTCTCCCTGGCCAGCCGCCAGTGATCTCACACTGTGACCATCACAAATGCCGGAATTGACCAACAATGCTGCGCGTTCTCCTGACCAAAAAGAGTCCTACCTTTCAATTGCCATCCCTGCAACGTTCTTCGGGGGATGCAAGGGAATTGCCACAGGCGCCGAGGCATCCATTGCTCTTGCGGCAAAACAACTGCTCCACTCAAGAGTGTCCCAGAAGAGTGTCCCACAAGAGTGTCCTACAAGAGTCTCATTTGGACATATGTAGTTTTTCGAACGTGTTTGCATTCGGGTAGGTGGGTTCCATCTTGTTTGTGCTTCGTGTCACCCCCCCTAAGCAGTGGTGGATCATTGACCTAATTTCCGCCCAATGCATGCAAATATGGCAGTCCCAAACAGGTCGTGTTTGGGACATTGGATCGGGTGGGGTAGTTGTACCGGTCAGTGTCCATTTCGCCGCAGTTGTACGCCTCTGTGCTCGTGGGCATTCTTGCAAGGTATTGATAGCAGGGGAAACATTGGTGCTGAATTACGCACATGGCCCAAAAGTAAAACATTAATCATATTCATGCACATGCTTGTTAACCAAGTTGAACACAAATAGCATCGTTCCCATTCCTCACACTCGCCTCCACCCGAAACTCTCCCGTGCAAGTCACCCACGCTCACAATCCCCGTCTCACCCTCATAGATCACTTGCCCCTGGCATCCGCGTGGCAGATGCGACCAGAAAAGGCCGCGGGGGTTCACCATCTATCTATCCAATCAATCAATCAATCACTCAGTCAGTCAGTCAGTCAGTCTATCTATCTATCTATCTATCCATCTATAATATATATATATATATTCCAGGCACACATGGATTCCTTTCAATGGTGTTCTTCACTCTTGCTAGGGTTCCTTCAGCTGAGCGGTTCTCCCCAAACTCATCGTCCCCCCCGCCGTGCGACACTCGTGCCTTCTTGCATTCGAAGGCCCAGTCGCCCCGTCGAGGATCCATCGAATAGGCATCCTCACCCAAATTGGTCACCTTCACGTGAAAGACCTCATCGGGAAGTGCTCGGCATCTCCGTGTCACGGTGAAAAACCGTGAAATCGGTGGACACCTAGCTGGAATGCACCCAGCTTGCTTTTCCGAAACCTGCTTGCAGCCTTTCTTGAATGCAAAAGTTCCTGCACTCGGCAACGTCTGTACGGTGTAACTACCACACCCAAGACCTAAACCAAGAAGTACACTCAGGATCACTTAAGCCTGCTACTGCCACAAGCTTTGTTGGGGTGTAGGCCTGCCAAACAGGAGAATCAACGAGTCCGTTTCGACATGATACATCATGATACCATCACCGGGGCATCCATTTGTTAAATTACAGGACAAGGGGACATCAAAAGTCCGTACTCTCAAGTCCGTACTCAAGCTCCGAAATCAACAAGTCCGTGAAGTCAAGTCAACGTTTAGTTACATGTTTCAACTCAAGCCACACCAAGTGACTCCGTACTCCGGTGACTCAAACCGTCTCCTTCGCCTTCCCGGGGCCCAAACCGTCCGTGACGGGCCCCTTGTCTCCATGCGAAGTCCACCGGGGCGCATGCTCACCACGCATGGTGGCCGGTAGCGTGCGCAGGGCCAAGGCAACAAGGTAGCCCAAAGGGTTATGAAGCATCTTGGACAGGAAGCGGTTCTCCTGTCGAGAAGACGAGGCAAGGGGAAAAGGAAACTAGGCAAGTTGTTCGTGGTTGCCACATTTTGGACGTGCTTCCCGCTGTTTTGGATGAACAGCTCTCCTTTTTTTGGTTGTGTCCCAATGACTTCTTGTCGCAACAGCCAAGGCCAAGGCATGCGCGAACCCAAGGCCCCTGTTTCCACAGGTGCACAACCCCAGTGTGGAATCTGCATGAGGAGAAACGGTATACAGTATACATGTAAAATTATGTAAACAACCCTCTCCAGCTGTCAGCACTGGCCACCAACCACAAAAGGTGTCAGTTCAACACACAAAAATGGCCATAGTAAAGTACAACACCTGTCAGGAACCTCCAACACGTCCAACACAACCTGTAACTTGAAAAGCTGGCCTTGGTCTTGTCTCGCAGCCACATGTAGTCCTCGCAGGATTTTTGCTCTTGATGTGTTGAGATCTAAAAAGCACACCAAAACAATCCAAACAGTCCCTCAAGATGAGGTGAAAAGGAACAACGCGTAAAGCATCTATATACTCTAACCTGCCTGCAGCATACGAGCGTCATAGCCAAGCCCTGCGAAGAAGCAATGCATCTTGTCCGGCGAGTCCGAGGGAAGACCCTGCCAACATGAGAGACTCAAGCGTCATGCCACGACCTGGTTTCTTCATGTCTCATCACCACCCCAACCGGGACGACACACTCCCTGAGACAATCATAGAAGTGGAAAGTGGTCCCTGCAAAGACGATGTTCCTCTACAAGCAGGGGGTGTCCTCTTCTATGTTTGTTGGAGGGATGATAACTTGCGCCAGGGCCCTTCGCACGAACATGAACTACCCTAATTATAGGCTTCGGAGAGGTCCAACTTCACCGACGCCAGACGTCACCTTCCTTTAAAAGAAACAAACTAAGACTGGCGCACGCTCCGCCTTTCTGAAAGATGGCCCTCTCTGCAAAGGCGGGCAGGCTTGGGGGAGATGGAAAACAGCTGGAAAAAATGGACTTTCTGCCCTCGATGCCTGGCCTGGCCTCGGCCGTCAAGCAAATGGTGCTGGTGGGGATTTCCGGAACCTCTTCCTCCTCCACATGATCCACGAGGTCGCTCAGGTCCTTGGCGTAATTCTTCTGCGCACCTGGCGGAATTCTTGGTCGCTGGTCTCCCCGAGCCAGAACGATGTGCCGCGGCGGGTCACCGGGGTGCCGGGGGTCCGGTGCCGGGTATCCACCAGCCACCGGCTTGGGGCGGTGTCGGAGTGAAGAACATCCAACACATCCAGTTCGCCTTATGAAGAACCATTGAAAACCATTAAGAAACCCCTTGGGGTCGTGATCACCATTCACACCCCCGTTCTCTATGACTCTAGGCCACACATCTGGAAACATCATGGCCACATGGCCGGCCTGTCAAGTATGCCAGCGCATTGCCAGTCCCCAGGCGGAGAACGCACATCGTGGGGCTGCTCTTGAGCTCTCTTTCGTTCGACACGGCCTCCTCTCGCCTGGCACTGTGACCATCCGGTTTTTGGAACAGTTGGGTTCTGAGGAGGAAAAATCTCTCCAAAACCTGGAGGCTCTGTGCCAATCCAAGGATACCAAACGACGATAGTTCGGAAGACGCACAAATTGTTGTCATTATAAACTCATAGACATATGACATATGTGCAAATCAAAGAACTACACCGGGGTGAAAGTTGTTGGCGCAACTCAGGGGGTAGCCACCATAGCCATAGATGGCTCAACACCACATGTCAATTGAATCATCTTTGAGCTAGGAAGCACAAAAAACTGTAGCAAAAAAATCATTAAACATCACGAAAACTAGGGCTGTAAAATCTATAGATGGCGCATCCCAAAGCTCCTTTCCCTTTCCGTTCCTTGTCCTTTCCCTTTCCTTTTTCTTTCCTGGATTTGTCCCTTCCCTCTCCTCCTTCCCTTTTCCTTTCCTGTGCTTTCTGCTTCATGCAGTATAGCATTTCCTGCGCTTTCCTTTCCAACTTCATGCAGTACAGCATCAGTGGTGAGATTTGCAGAGTTGAAGCCTACTGTATGCATTGATTGGCATTGCGCCATCTGTGGTTCTGACATAAAGCCCCCACACACAAATAAAAGATTACAAAATGGCGAAATCTTGGACCATAAATGCGGTAGTTTTCCAGGGTTTTGGGACTTGTAGATGGCGCAACAGTGTGTTGCCCCCTTGGAGTTCGAAGATGAAGCAACAAAAAAAGACAAGCCATCAATTCTCACCCCGGAGTAACTCACTCTCATCTGCCCGCAAAACAGCAAGCGCAACTAACCAACCACTCAATGGCACTGCCAAGGCTCAACTTGGCCATCATATTCAACAAACCTGAGGAAGCAGTGCCAGCCAGCCAGCAGGCTGCTCCGAGGCAATTGCTAGTGTTTCGCCTCCCAGTCTCCCCTCCAACGCTGACGTTACGGCTATGGTCCTCCCACTTCCACAATGGCGACTGTCTGCACTTCTATGCACGTCAAGAAGCTGGTGACGGTTCCATCACCTCCGCCACAGACCACCACTTTGCATTCACAGTCATCCATCACCTCAAGGGGTTAAAGGTCGACAGCTCAATCCATAGCTGAGTCTGGAGTCTCAGGATGCGTTCTCCCATATCAAGAAGAGGAGAAAAGCCTTCCCCAGCTCAAAAGAAAACAAGACAGATAGAGTCATACGCCATTCATCCCACTGAGTCATCTTCCGTCACCCCAGACGGCCCCAGACTCTAGACCTTCCGCAAAGCGTGCTCGGCATCTTCCTCGCTGCAGCACGCAAAGGTTCGAGCGGGGCCCACGATGCCCTGGAGCTTGCTCTCGACTTTCTTGTTCACTCCTTTGGCATTTCCTGAGTCCAACACCAGACTTCAAAACAAGAGACCACAATAGGTTTACATATGTGTTTTCTTTAATATGCTTTTTACCTGTTGCAACAAACACCAGACCTCAAACCACGAGTGGTCTTTTGCAAAGCCACGGTCCGGTCCGGTCTATTCTGATCTCTCCTGATCCGATCCGTCAATTGGCTCGAGGCCAAGCAGCTGTTGAGTATCAACGCCACAGATCGTTGCTGGATACTTGAAAGAGCCTGGATACGGGGATTTGGCTGCAAAGCAGGCATTCATATCATTCATGTTCATGAGCTACTCCAAACCTGCACCCAGAGAGCAAAAAGGAGTTGAACGGTTGGATCTTTCTACGCCTTGGTCGATGAAAAAAATTGCACCCTCAGACTTCCAAGCACCCTGACACCCGTACTCCACCGGGGTCGCTCTCGCGCGGTGTGGTCACCCGCGACGGCCTCGTCGAAGTTCACTTCGCAGCTGTCCTTCGCCGGCCATGTGTTCGTCTCGTAGCGTCGCACGCGGGTCGCCTGGGCGCGTGTGAGGCGCTTCAGACGGCCTGGCTGGAGCTTGGTCCCCGTGTCCATGGCTCTCCTGGGGTCAACCGCCTGTGGAGTCCCACAAGACCTACATCGATCAGATGTGCGAGATCCAAATCACCCATCTTTTTGCAGGCGATAGATACTATAGAAAGAAACAGTTTGTGATCTTCTCGGAGTTTGACGCCCAAGTTGACAACACCGGATCATGCAGAACAAACCTCCTAGCAGCTAGGGCGAGTTGACCCTCAAACCTCTCAAAGACGTCCCGCCGTGTCCCACTGGTCCCCCTGCTGCGCATCCGGTGTCGGCTTCGTCACACGCGCGCCTTGCGCTTCCACTTCCTGCGGCCCTTGGCCAGCATCACCAGGCCCAAGCAACGTTCAGGGAGCCTCCACCGGCGCGTTGACGCGCTAAGACCCACGCCACCAAGAGGAAAGGCTCACTGGACCAGGATCGGTTTTTCATGGCCCTCTCGGGGCGCAACTGGGTCGCCATTTCGGACCACATTGGAAGTGGATGGCGTGGCCCCCTGGATGACCATGGTTTCAAACAGGCGGTGAACTCGACTTCCATTATTCTTTCGGGGAGTGTATGTCTTTGGATCCATCGCTGCATGGCAGGCCTGGAGGGGGCACGACATAGAGAAGCTGCCTCTCCTGTGCAACAAGAAGTAAGTTCAGCACACGCGATTGCGCACGCATGCCAGGCTCTTCAAGGCAAAGAACAGGCCCAGTTACATAGGCAAGTCTGGCAAAAAGACTCATTTTTTGGCACGAAGGCGCTCAACACCAAGCTCTCTTGCCTGAGGGGCATCCAAACATTTCTCCGCCCAACGCATCCCCGCCCCCAAGAGATCTGGCGCTCAATGTTGTGCTCCTCTCCATGTGGTGCGGCTCCCCGCTCCGCTCAAGTCCTACCGCAGCGGGAAATCCGATAGCGGGACGTCAACATTGAGAACTTGAACTTGTATCGCTCTGGCCTCAAATAGATGTGGCCCTAGGGCATTTTGAGGAATTGTTTCTAAGGAGGTTGGGGTGTACAAAGCAAACGGTCTTTTCCACCTGCTCAGCTTGAGCCAAACCATTTGGTTGGCGAGTTCATCAACAGCTCGAATCGAAGTGCTCGATCGAAAAGCGAAAATGCTCGTGAGGTGCATGGTTTCTCTCCCACACTCCCCCTGCAGTGCGTCACTGCATATTCCATGGCCAAAAGACCTTTTCGGTCAGCCTTTCAGTTTGCAAGAAGCTCATAGCTTCCATCAGAATCCCACTCTTCATTCACAGGCATGGGACCCTGGCTACCTCGGGTGGGCATGGTGCCCTCACTTCCAGCAGCGGGCGTGGAGCCCTCACTTGGTCGTCCAGCGCCGGCAGGGCGCGAGCTCCGAGCCACAGGCATTTGAATGCCCATCCATCGAGCCGTCGCTTCATCCGGCAAGTTGGGATGCCGGGCAAGCAGCAATCCTTCGGAGTGGAGCGAGAGGATCCAATCCGACGGTTCTTCTTCAAGAGGAACCTGCATGTTGGCTGGTGCAGGCCTCTCTCCTCGATTCTCCTGTCCCCTCATTCGGCCAAGGTAGCCGAGAGTGAGAGGTGCTTCCATGGCATCCGTGCCGCGAGTCGATGCCGTCATCGTCGAGGACAAGGTGCTTGATGGTGTCCCTGTTGAACCATCTGTTGAGCCTCTTCGAACCCTCCTGATGCCTCTGAGCAGTTCATCTTCTGGTCGAACTGGTGGAGGCCCCGATGATGCGCTGACCTGCGAAGTCGAAAGTGACTGTCCAGGTGGCGTCGGCGTTGAGGAGCTTCCAGTCGTCTGGCCAGCAGGAGTTGAAGAGCTCGTCTGTGAGTCCAAAGTTGCATTCTCAGGCAGAGGAGGTTGAGGGGGGTTGTCACGAAAAAAGCTGTAGCCCACCCACTGCTCCTCTGTCGGAACCATAGGCCTGGTGTCGTTGCGCCAGTCATCCTCCACCACCGATTTCTCACCATGCAGCCATATGACCCGACCACTGCGGATTTGAGCTGCATCGAACGGCGTCTGCCGGTGCGCGGGGTGGAAAGGTCTCTTCCTGGGTTTGACATGATGTCAAACCCACCAACCATCGCGCAGCCGCCCCCACCAATCTCGTCCTTGAGGAGGAAGTCGGAACTGTGGCCATTCACGCTGGGCCCAGCGCGCATGGCGGCAAGGCGCACACCATGTCCATGGCAGCGAGGTTCGAGCGCGGCCGCACGGGAGCCTTTTAGGCTAATGTCGCCCGCCCGCCCCCCCAGCCCAGCGGTGGGTTCATCTTCCCTCACCGATCTTGTGTTCTTTTCCCCTCCTACGGCGGTGGGTTCATTTTCCCTCACCGATCTTTTTTCGACCGAATCCCGTCCCCGTGGCGCCTCGGCCTGGAATTCCGCCGGAAGGTGTCCAATGATCTTTTTGAGGTCCTGTGCTTTCGAGGCCAGGTATGCTACAAGTGCAGTGATGGTCAAACAGCGTGCGATCTTGTGTGCTTCATGGATTGGATTCCAAACCGCCATCCCTAATATACCAGCTACAACCGCCTGGAGCCTAGAACAAACTGACTGGTGTTCATCTATCTGCCTTCGTGAGCAAATCCGATGGCAGTTCAGTGCCAGGAACATGCAACATGCGCCAACACTGCTGCTGGATGCGCTCCTTGACCACATAGGCCCTCAGCCTCAAATGCCTCGTGCGCCATGGTCCATCCGGCGCAACCAAAATCCTTAGCCCAGTTTGCGAATCACCGCAAAGGACCTGCTCTCCTCCAAGGTGGAGCTTATGGTCCTCCAACACGTTCACGATGGCCGCCGCCGACTCGCCCATCACCACTCCATCAACATAACCCATTAACTCCGATTCAGCGCTGGAGAGAGTGGCGAACGGCTGCTGCCGACTTTCCCATTGAACCGGGGCTCCATTGTAGGTGACCAGCAACCCTTGTTGACCTCTTCCACCTTGGGGACCGTGAGAAGCATCCGAAAAAACCCGAACACTGGGGAGCTTGGAGCCTCAAACACCTGTTGGGTGTAACACAGCTCATAGTCCACTGTGGAGTGCAAATACCCAAGCGTGTGAGCCCCCATTCCAAAACTTTTCCAGGAGCTTTCGTCACCAAGCGGCCCATGATGGAAACTCCATAGCTGAGGTCAGGTCTGGTTCGCCCGCTGAGCCAGAGCAATTCACCAACGAGAGCTGGGCTTTGCGGACCTGTTCAATGGAGATGTTTTCCTCCAGTTCATCTTGTACGCCAAGGGGCAAAGGAGTTTGTCTCGACTTGATGCCTTCGTGGCGTGCAAGGAGATCACGGGTGTAAGAGGCCTGGTTCAAAATGACCTCTCCTGGGCGGCACTTGATCTCAAAGCCGCAAAACTTGAGGGACTTCTCCGAAGATGCCCATTCTGGTTCTGAGCAGCGCCAATGAGCCCGGATTCCATCAATCACTGCATGAGCGAGGGGACTTGGAGCAGCAACCAGCATGTCGTCAACGTACACTGCCAGGAAGCCTTCTGAGATGTCCTCCTCGGGGATGCCGTTGGGGCATGTTTTGATCAGCTTCCAAAGGTTGGGCTCTGGCGTAGTGACCAGTTGGTATTCTTGACCTTCAGCCTCGAAGCGCAGCTGAGGTAGTTCACGGCCACGATAATGCGACCAGTTGGCAGGAGCATCGTTCAGCCCGTACACGGCGTGAGAGATCTCCCAGAGTTCAGTTGGCGGGCAAATCCCAGCTTCAATGAGCACCTTAGGTGGTCGAGCAACCAGCAAACGTTCCTGCTCATCAGGACGTGGTGCAAGTAAAAATGCTGTTTTGATGTCAACCGTGCCGATGGACCAGGACTTTTGAGCCGCACAACGCATCAAGCAACGCAGAGTAGTCCCATCCGCTCCACCTGCATATAGTGAATACGGAGCTTGGTCCTTCGACTTCACTTCACCTGCGGAGTTGTCATGGTCTTCGTTGACCTTGGTGAGATGGTTTCCGCAGATGACCACCCGTGCTCTGAGGCGTCCATGAGGACTCTTGACCGTGGGAACAAGCATAGCTGGAGCGAGTTCCATAGTTGGAAACCTTGGATCCAGGCGCAACTTTTCCTCCGAAGTTGGTTTGATTGCCTGGGTCGACGAGATCAGCTGGTCATATTCATCACGCAAGGGAGGCTTCCATTTCTCCAGTTCCTTGCGGACCTGCTGCAATGAGACTGTGTAGGTCTGGAGCACAGTAACCGGAACCTCAGTTGAACCAGCCATTGGAGCCAGAGAAGCCATCTTGTAGTTCTGCAAGGAGGAATGCTGAAACGACAATTGATCTTCAGCACCTCGGAGCAGCATTTCAACTTCACGAAGCCAGCTGCCATGAACGCTCCCAGCGTCTTCGCCAACTGCAACTTCTTGAAGGCCTTGGCACCAGAGCTGCTTCAAAGCCCAGTGACGTTCTTGTTCAAGTTCATGCCACTGCTCTGCCTGTTGTCTTGAGCAGAACATGGGATCTTCCAGCTCCCCCGGAAGGTCAGGGTGTTGACATTGATCACTTTGATCATGACTATCGAGCATGGGACCTCCAACAACCTCCTCCGACTCCCTTTCATCCTCAAATTGAAGTGCCAAGGAGCCGCCAACGTCGTCCAAAAAGGGCAAAGGATCCTCCTCGGCAAGCAGCAAGAGCTGGGTCAGACTTATCATACAAAGCCCCCACGGCTCCAGCAAGAGGATGGTTTCCCCACAATGCGGTGCTTGATTGATGGCACCTCCTGCAAATCCATGATCGCCTGGTCAGCCACCGGCGAAGGTTCCAAAGCCGTCCGCACATGAAGCAGCTGCCCCTTCTTGTCGCGGGCAATCCAGCCATGTGACATGTATGGGCATGGTCCCAAGAGCTGCATGGTGCGGTAGGGCATTGAGAGTTGTCCAGCACGACGCCATCGTTTGGACTTGACCAAAACTGAAGCTCCATAGCGAAGCATTGGTGGGCTCGGCAGGCCCAATCTTTCAAGTTGTAGGCGGACACGGCCTTCTGCAGCATGTCGTAGGGCTGTCGGCCAGAGGGATTGAGGTAGTCCAGAATCATGTAGAAGGAGTCGAGTCCGACGTTTGATCTGGTTCACTTCTCCCTCGATGCGGCCGTTGGCCTTTGAGTCATCGCCTGCAGTCAAAGTCAATCGAAGTTGACGTTGTTCACACCATTTTTGAATTGGGACTGAGGCAAACGATCGTTCTCGATCTGTGTGGAGGCGGTACACTTGGATGCCCAGCATGCGATACTTTGCATGTAGTCGTGAAAGGGCACGGACCAAAGACTCCACAGTTCTATCTGGGATCACCTCAGCGAACGTGATGTTTTGGTGTCCAGGAGCTTCTTGGGCCTCTTCAATCTGGGCCAACTCATTGAGCCTCTGAACTTCATCATCAGGGAGCATTTCACGCTCCTCGCGATCACAGGGCAGGTCCTCGGTGTACTTGACGTCGTCTGCAGTGTCATAGGGCTCGGCAACCTCGCCTGGAAGCTCTGAAACGATGGGCACAGCAACAGTGGAGATCAGTGCATACTTACAGGTCACTCCAGCGCCAAGGTCACGACCAGCAGGGAAGGGTCCACATAGGTCCGCTGACATAGTGAACTTCGTTGCACTCCCCCCAAGTCTTTTGTGCGGTTTATCACAGCCCATCGCTTCACCGCAGATTCGGCAGTCAGCACGAAAGGGAATGTGCCCCTGTTTGATGTGCCGGTGCCAGGCTGCAAGGTCCATTTTGGACATGTTGTGAGTGTCACCATTTCGACTTTCCTCCTCCAAAATGCCAAGCAACCTCCGCAGCGATTCCTTGATAGCAGCCACAAGTCCCGGCGCCCAAGCGGCCCAAGACTTTGAAGTGCGAATGCGATCTGCCAGCTTGGTGGGTAGTGGACTATCATCACAACCTTCACCCTGGAGACCATGTAATTCTTCGAAGGCGGGGAGGTTGGTCAAGACTGTAGTGGGCTTCTTCCGCTGATGGCCCAACCGTCCTTGGTCGAAAGTGACCAAACGAAGTCCTGCAATTCCAACCCAAGCCGTGATTTCAGGGAAGCACCAAAAAGAAGCGCTTCGAGCTCCTTCTTCATCGCTCAAGTATTCAGCTGGGTCACGTGGAGATTCCAGCAGCATTCCAACATCCGTGGGAGCACGACGGCATTCTTGAGCACGTAGCCAAAGACCAAGATGCTTCAGTGTCGCCGTGGGCCAAGCGCTGCTCATCATCGTCCAAATCAGGGAGGCACCAACGCTCTTCTCCTCGGCCACGTAGTCGACGAGGGCCAGGAGCCTTATTTCGAAGGCGGCTTACAGTCCTGCATGGAGGACCTCCAATGATGGCAACAATGCGGCCAAGTGATGCCAGCTTCCACAAGTAACTCGAAACTGAAGGGTTGTGGAGGTTCAGGGCTGCATTAATCTCAGTGTCGATGCACAACCATGAGTAGCGGCCTCCACCAACATCATTCCATTTCTTGGCAACCGCTCCACTGAAAAGGTGAACAATGACACCCTTCCCAGTCATGTGGGCCCGTCGCAACCTTCGATTCCAGGGCGGAGCTGTGGGTTCTTGACTTTGACCAGCCATATGCTGGAGAACTGGAAGTGGTAGTTCAGGAAAATGCTTCTGCCACCAACTTCGATCTTCATCAGAGAGAGCCACCTCCCCCTGATCCTCCATCTCAAACTGCGCCAACATGTCCAGCGCAGGCTGCCGATGCATGATGGGACATCCATTCCTCAGCCAACAGGCGATTGGGGTTGGGTGGTGGGTGCTGCATCCCGAACGTCGCCATTCCACCTTGAAGCCGCGCTCAACCAAGAGGCCCAGAGGAATGATCGGCTCAACCTCCGTCAGGGACAACAAGGTGCGATGCTTGGGGTGGCGATACAAAACTGTTGAGCCTTGTGCCAGCTCCACTTCAACCGGAAAAATTTCAGCTCGTTCTTCGGGTCGAGCAACACGTAGGGCATGAGTGGCCCCACCATCCAAAAGGGCAAACCCCTGAGTTCCAAACTCCTGAGGGTGAGCACTGATCTGCTTGAGGCGCATCGTCTTCACGGACCGAAGCGTCTTGAGCAGCGTTGCAGCTTCCTGGATGAGGTCTGTGGCGATGTCATTCTTGGGCTTCTCGTCCAGCGTTGACTTCGCTGGTGAACCACCTCCCGAATCCTTCAATCCCCCTCCAGACACCGTCGTCGGCGACAAGGGCGATGGGCTCGAAGTCGATGTAGACCCAGGACTTCCCACTTCCACCTCCTTTTCTTTGGTTGGGCCTTCTTTTGAGCCCTCTGGTGCAACTCCTCGCAAGCGAGCTGCCTTTCTTACGTCCTTGAAGTTCTTGGGTTGTCGGTGCACACAATCCTTCGCCATGTGACCCTCCCCCGAACAGTAGCAGCTGTCGGTCCAAGCCCTCCCAGCTATGCCCATAGCCACAAGTGTCTCCTCGTTTACAGCCATGTTGGGTCCCCCAAAACTTGCATGGAGACCGAGGTTTTTCTTCTTGAGTGCCGGACTGCATCGCCTTCACCACCGGAGTCTTTTCATTGGTAGTGGTCGAGCTCGTCATGTTGGCGGCACCCTTAGGGACTGCGATGACCAGAGCTAGCTCCTCCAATTCCGCTTGCAGGTACTCGCTGAGGTCCTTGATGGAGTTCATCTCCGGGCGTTGATCAACCAACAATTCCTGACGCACAGTTGAGACTCTGTACGCAACTTGACTGCTTCCCAGCTTGGCCAGCGAGTCCATGATCTTGCCAAGGACATTCATGAGGATCAGCGGGTCTGGCAGCGTGACTTTAAGTTCTTCAGCTCGCTGCAACCATCGGCGCCATTGCCGCATTGTTGCCAAGAGCTCCGTGACGGAGTGGCCCACCTTCACCTCGGTGAGGCTCTTGAGAAGCGTTGTGCGTTCAGCTCCTCCTCCAGGTTGGAATACTACAAACAACTTGAACAGGATGCTCACAGTCGTGACGTGTCGAGAGGAGATGACATCTCTTCTCAGTTGTTCAGGCAGGATGCCCAGCAGCAGCAATGACACTCCCCGCTGCTCCACTCTCTGGTACAAGGGGTCCACAGTGACATCTTTTGGCCGCAGGCGCAACCTCTCCAAGGGCGTGGCCACCAGCCACTGTTCATATAGTTCACGAGCGGCAGAAAGGCATCCATCCCACCAAAACTGTGAGGTAGAGGACAAATCCGCCATCAATGGATAGGCCACAGTCAGCCAATCCCCAAACTGCAGCGCCGCGCCTTCGGATGAAGGTAGTGGGAGGGCAGGAAGATCCAAAGCACCATGAAGGCCTGGGGGAGGATCTGGTCCTGACCCGGGAGGTCCACCTGCACCTGAGGGATCACCATGTGGTAGTCCAGGATGTGTTGTAGTTCCACGACCATCAACTCCACCACTGGCAACGGAGGCATACGACGATGCATCACCACCACCTGCTCCATCAGTTATGCGTTTAACTTCACGAGCGAACTTTTCCTCCGCCTCTTTGAGGATCTGGGCACGAAGTTTCTCAACATCCCCAGGTCCTGGACTTCCATTGGTAGCCCGAGCTCCAGCACTTTCCGCCATTCTCACATGACCTTCACCTCGTGCAGCTTGTTGAATTGAAGTGGTCCAGAAGGGGTTCACAGTGGCAAGGGGGCCCTGTGGTGTGCGATATGGTTCAAGCACCCTGGGTTTCACCTCCTCCCCTCCTCCCGCTCTACCTGCCTTGTGCCTGCAGGCGTGCCCATTTGTGGATCACCATGTGGAGCTCCAGGTTGATGTGGAGTTCCAGCCAAAGAACCTTGCCCACCAAAGAGTCCGCCTCCTGGTGGATGAGGTAGTCCCGAACCCGGTCCTTGAGGTAGTTCAGAACCTCGAAGAAGGGGATCTAAAAGTCCCGGAGCCGGCGAAGGTGGCACATGGTGGCCTAATGCCTGTTGCAACAACTCGAACGACTGGCGTGCTGCTTCTTGCAATCCGCCCAGACCCAAGGCGTTAGCCCGAGGATCATGCAAGGTGCTCATGAGGCCTCCAGCCCCGGCCAGCTGGCCAGCTGATGCATCGTGATGCCCTCCATGATGTCCAGGTTGAGGTGCCAAACTTCCCTCTCTTCTTCTTCCTTGAGATTCATTTCCCTCAGCCGTAGGGTGCATAGCCAGGCGCCGGACAGCAAGATCATCTTCTGCAGGTAGTGACGAGGCCCGAGCTGCTCGTTGCTCCTTGAGCAACCGGTCCAACTTTTGATCTGCTGTCTCTTCAGGCGGTGGCCTTCTTCGACCTTCCCGAGGTGCACGTCGAGGCTCCTGCGCTTCAGCGGCAGCAGCTGGCTCTCGTGAGCCCTGTCGGCGCCGGCGCTGGAGGGTGGCCATCGCGGCCAACAACCACTCTGCTCGCTCACCAGCAGTGGGTGGACTTCGAAAACACCTAGCACCTTGGGCTCATAACCTAAGGAGGTTGGGGTGTACAAAGCAAGCGGTCTTTTCCACCTGCTCAGCTTGAGCCAAACCATTTGGTTGGCGAGTTCATCAACAGCTCGAATCGAAGTGCTCGATCGAAAAGCGAAAATGCTCGTGAGGTGCATGGTTTCTCTCCCACAGTTTCAAAGGTGGCTGGATCCTACATCCTCGCAGCAGAAATCAGAAAATCGCTGCATGTCCCCGGCAACATTATATTATAGTAATACATGTGTATATATGTGTGTGTGTACATATGTCTATACTTTGTGTGTGTGCGTGTCTGCCGCATTCTCAGCTAAGCCTTTAGCAAAAAACCCAGGGGGTCCGTCGAACTGAGCAGGACTCCATGCGAACTGGGCGCCACAAAAGCAGGACTGAGTGAAGCCATGGCCATGCAACAGCAGTGCCGTTCAGCTTCTGCTTTGAGCCCTTCTGCTTTGAGCGCATGAGGCTGAATGATGCCGACTTATTGAGCTCTCCGGGTGGGAATGGGACTTCATTGGCTGAACCCTCTACGCCAACATGGAAGTGCACCAAGACGCAGATGCTGGCTTAGCTGGCGTGGGCCAAGTGTCCCATCGAAGCCCTGGTACATCGTGAACCAACAGATCATGTCATAAACTTAACAGAAAGGAATGACTTGACCACACCCTGCAAGTCCAAGACTACTTTCCAATTGGTCCTTCAGTGACCAATTTGAAGGAATGTCCTTCACTTCGGCGGGGCGAATCTAGCCTTTGGACTTCTAGGGGCGCATAGTTGAACTTAGAGATTCCCAGTCCAAAAATTCATCAGCAAGCGCCGCAAGCGCTCGCTTGATCACCGGCCCCCTTCGGGTCGGGCACCGGCATCACGCTGGGCACGGGCACTTCGGAAAGCCCCGGGAACTCCACGGAGCGCCTCGTGTCGCGCCGCGTGTCGCGCCGCGTGTCGCGCAACCTTCATAAGCACCTACCGCAGAACACGACGACAGCAGCTCCTTTCGGCAGCTTGGTCAGAGGGAAAAGGTCGGGGCTTTCCGTTCCTTTTTGTGGGCCCCCTTCTTGGAAGAACAACCTGGGCCTCCATCTCCAACGGTCTCGTGCCCCATCTCTCCCGTCTGAGATCCATCTCTCCCGGATTCATCTCAGCTGATCCGGGAACCGAGGTGCGGAACCGTGGCAAAAGTCCGTGCGGTCCGCACCAGGAGCGGACGTTCCGCTTCCGCGGCCTCGCGGGCGAGGCGGAATCCATCGGGGCGGGCGTGGCGGGGTGATGGTTTAGTGTATGTGACGCCATGGGAAGCAAAATGGAAACAAAATGAAGCCCAGGCAAATCGGATCGGATGCAACTTGGCTCGCAGGGGCCCAGTTGCATTGAGAAGGCACGGAACCCAGTGGAAGGGAAGGGATTCATGGAGAAGGGCCTGGTCTGCTGAACATAGGCTTTCAAAATAGTAACAACCCCACATTTTGTCCAAAGGAGCTCATCTCAGAAGCATCATGACTCCTGTTCCAATCATGGTTTTTGTTCGTCTTCAACGCTTACCTGACCTTGTGACTGTCTTCCACACCACCACGCCTTCCTGAAAGGCTGCAGGGGAAGGCGTGTCCCGCGCATCACGCTGGTCGCCAACGGCCGCATGCCGCCTCACGCGGTGTCCATGCGACCCGTGGAAAGTGGGAGAACGAGAACGACAGGAACATGGCTTTGACCCGGTTGGCCAATTACTGTAACCTACTGCATTTTCTCACTTTGGTTGGATTCGCCTCGCATGCGAAGAAACACCGCTTCGTGCGCTCCATTAGTGTGCTCATCGGTGCACCACTTGAGGCAACACCCCGTCAAACATGCTTAGGCAAAAGGAAACTGTAAAAGCCACATCAAACACCCATTGCTCAAGCTATGGCTAAACCTTTCAATACAAAAAAAAATCACCTCCGAAACATCTTCACAGAAGTCCGAGCTTCTTCCACAACCGAGCTTGGTCCAATTCCTCCCCCCGAGCCAAAACGGATGGGGCCCCGGACCGTCCAAGAATTCGCCGAAGATTGGCGCCGGCGCGGAGGGGCGGAAGAGTCGAAGAAACGGAATCCGGCTGCAGGAGCGACTGCGGCTCCACTTCCCGGAAGATGTGTTTTTTCGTTTTCTTTTGCGTGTTTTGCTCTTGAGCCTGGAGGCTCGTCAGTCCCTGCCCGCTGGGTCATGACACGTAGACTGTGCTGGTTTCAGCCAAAGCGATCATTGCGAAGGCAAAGGCTTGCGCGGAGTCCGAAATGTTGAACCCTCCACCTGGAAGCACTTGACCTTTTGCGGCGCGTGCCAAAAGCGAACAATTCCGTGAGGGCTAGTAAGTATATAAGAAGTATAAACACCGTCACCGGGCGGTCAGTCTGCCTGCCTTTCACCCTCACTGTCACTGGGTGAAAATAGACTATGAAGTACAGAGATTGTGGAGAAACAATGTCCCCTTTCCCTCTTGTCTTAAATCTTCCCCATAAAAGCAAGCTGCCAGAGCTCCTCCCAGCTGTTCTTCTCGGACCAGTGCCAGTTTCACTGGCTTCCCAACGGTGGCTCCCCCCGGGCTCCATCAAGCCGCGCCAGCTTACAAGCACGGAATCCAAGTCTTCCTTCAGACCAGCCACCTCACCAGGCGGCGATGGCGAGACCCGAAGGCCATCGCCGACATCACCGGCGAACTGCGGGTGAAGCAGGTGACCCATGCGCAGGAGTGACCCATGAGTTCAGTTCAAATCCCCCCAATTCTGAAGGCAACAACCACAAGGATCATCGAAAGGACGAAGTAGTCTTGATGTTGCTACTGTTGCGGCCGCTGTCAAAAAAGACCGAGTGCGAGCGTCGCGCCTCGTGTTTGTGTTCAGCGTTCCGGTGAATGGCTTCCTCCTCCTTCTCCTCATGGCACGACACAAGCGAACACTCACATGTCCTGTCCATTTGCTGCTTCACCCAACTCAGCACACTTCACCCAGCTCAGATCGGGGGGGTTCCTATGTCATCTCCGATCTCAGTCTCGCAAAGTCCCTCCGGCTCTCTGTGTGGCTGGTGTTCCATGTGAGCCAGGTGAATCGCACAACTCCTCCAAAGCGGATTTGGGTGGCTTGTCTGGTCCTCCAGTTTCCTCATATACTCGTCGACCATTTTGATCATGGACTCGCGCGTGTCACGCCTGAACAAACGAGTCAAGAGCAGCTGTAAGGCCTGTAGGGTAAGCAAGCCGCAACCCAAATCAACAGGTCAGTAGGTTGCTAGCATGATCTAGCAGAATCTAGCATGTGACTTGAGGTTTCCTCGCGTTCTCCTTTACATGCGCAACCTTCCCACATACCACCACCAATCCACGCTCAAAATGTCTGCACCTCCCTCCCTCCTCCCCGCCCTTGGTCCGTATCGTGCCCTACCGGCCGTACGTCCACCACAATCCCTCACGCGAGCGCCGCTCGAGGGCGTCCCCATCTGGGCGAGCCCAGCTTCTCCCCATTGGTCACAGTCGAGGCCCTCCGAAGACCTTGGCATCGCCCCGACGGCGCACGGCGACGGAGTCTGCCGGCGCCGTGGAAGCGTGAAGCAAAGCGGTCACCGCGGACAAGGACGTACGGCGCAGGCAGTCACGAAAGCAGAGCAGAGCAATACAGGAGTCCATTTCATTGGTTTTACCAAACTACAATTGTTGCACTAAGGGTTTGATAATGTTTGATAAAACCAGGTCAACCGGTTTTTGTTAAATGTATATGTCGCCATGTTCTGCTCGCTTTCGGCTACGAACACGTTTCCGGGAAGGCAGTGCAGCTTGCATCAGCGCCGCAAACATCTCACCAACATGGTCCGTTTGGAGCACCTCGGCACTCCCCGGCCTGGCGGCTCGCCCCCACTGAGGTGTCCCCACTGAGTGCGTCCGCCGGCGCCTTGTTCGTCATTCCGACGGGCCCGGGCGACCCAGCAGCGCCCTGGGCGGCGGGCGACGAGGTTTGTTCGCACAGATGGGCCTTCAAAAGGCCACGCGGGTAGCATCCGGCGCACCCGGAGACAAGGAGTGTTCAGCTGCCACAACGTACCAACCATCCAAACGGGATGGAGGAATTTCGGCAACAAGTACATACTTTCTCCACCAAAGTGGTCCCAAGTCCTATCTCCAAGAAAGCGACTCACCAAAGCAAAAGGTTATCAAAACGCAAAGGCATCCAGGCTGGGCGCCGCACCACAACAGCCTTCTATGGCACTCAAACCCCACACCCGGCCGCCGCTAGGGCCTAAAATACAACGCAATAGCCTTGCGTTCCAGCTCAACTTTTTCCATTGTGCACTTCAACTTGCATCTGAACGTTCCACATCAAATGTCCTATTTCTCGTGCCCCTCACTGTCGGCCGCTGAGTAAGCTTCATACACCACAAGGAAAAGCAAGTTCGGCTCGCATGGGTTGGCCCAGGCACTGATTTGTCCAACCCAAGTGAATCCGAGGGAACCCGACGACCGGTTCGCAACAAAAACGCCACACACCGCAGCAAGCCGGAACAGCACACCGGAAAATAGCATTTTCTTTTTGAACCGATACAGTACATGTCCCGTTTTTCAGAATCGACATCCACCGATTGCCAAAACCTCACTAGGAAATTTGGAGGTGCTTTGTTTTGCGCCAACTTTTTTTGAATTCTACACCAGCATTGTCAGAGTCTCTTCAGTCACTGCGCGCACCGCGCATCGCATTCCTCAGCATGTCACCGCAAAATCATGCCGAACATTTCATTCCTTTCTTGTGTTGCTCATTTCATTGCAGCCGTGGGTTCTGGGTTGGTGACCTAAGTGGTTGCTTGGTGGAATTGCCGAGTTTCATTTTTGCTTTGTACCTCTGCTTCAACTGGTGCTGGATAGCTCCTGGCCAGAAAACAACTCTTCAAAGCATGAACTTCCAATAGGT